TTTAGTTGAAGATCTCTTTCGTGTAGTGGTCCACAAAGCCGTTAGCTTCGAGTGACTAGACAAATGTTGGCTCTCCTCGAAGGTTTCTTTGCAGCCTGGGTGGCACACCGCGAGGTGGCTGATGCGATTCGTGTAGCCCGATCCAGGGGCCTGCTTGTGGACTCTGTCGCAGAGCTTGCAGGAGAACTGGCTGCTACCGTAGTGCATGGTGCTTGGGCTTCTCGAAATTGAGAATACGCAACCCAAGTTGGTGCTAGACGTCTTTGCTTGCTCTCGTATGATCCAGTCTTTTGTGGATCGACCACCAGCTCTGCTGCCACTGTTTATATGTAAAAAGGTCATTTTAGCTATTACGGGGAGAATTGTTAGTTTTACGGAAACCTTTGCTTTAACAATCCGTTATTTCGTCAATATAATTATACATTTACTAATTTTAGCCCTGTCTATAGTTGTATTCAAGCAAGTAGTTAATAGCAACTAGAGTCAAAATCTGACAGCGTAAGTATTTAGTTTAAGTATTTAGCTCGACTTTTAAAGTATTTAGTTTGACTTTTAAAGGCCTTACTAGCAAAATCATGTCATATCGGAGCCGTGCACGCTAATTAAAGCATTGTAAGCTGCAAACTTCGCAGTCTAACAGATCCACTGTATCACGTTCGCCATCGACAGGCTGATCGGGTATTAATTAAAAGATGCGTTTCGTCTGTATTGTCATCAAAAGCAGCGATCTACTATCAACGTTTCACTTTGAAACTTTGGAGACTGCAGTGATCTTTTCATTGCTGTTGGTGTGAGTAGACGAACTCAATTAAAACTCTTGAGGCTCTTCAGTTATATTGATTTGTTTTGTGCCTCGTCGGACTTCTGTATCCTGATAAGTTCAAATTCTTTAACATAAAACGTTTCGTTAGATCCATATTTCTAAATTCAGGAATAAGACCTCGAGTCGAAGAATCGGCATTGACGACTAATAAGTGGTAATTCGATTCTGTGTCGGCAACCTACGTGATGTTAGAATTGTTTTGTAAAGACTTGTTACCAAATACGGGTTCGATTATGACAAAGATATTACAACAAGAAATTAATTGTGATACTCGAATAATACGCATTGATTCAGTGTGTATTTGTTGAGCGTACCTGGCGCTATCGTACGTTTGGACAGCTGCGAACAGAGCTGTGGAAATATGTATTGTTTATTGATTGATACAATCGATCGTAAAACAATCAATGATTGCATTCTCAACAATCAATCAACTTGGTATTGCAATTGTTTGACAACGCCTACTCTCGTACGCTAGTGTTGCTAGGCTTGGAGAGATCGATTGACTTCGACACATTTACAGGTGTCACTAGAATCCAGTTCATCTTCAAGAACAAGATGATTTCGAGAGTCTAGTGGCTCAGACGTTTCCTCAGGTATCCTATGGTGCTGCTGACCGTTAAAACATACACCCAGCAGCAACAGATGTAGGAGAAATCCAGCTGTAGCGATGAACTTCGACCGTGGCCCATTATCCATGTGAGCCTTTTTATTGATCTTCTCTTCCAACGCTTCAGCGGTACGTTTCCTCGTCGACGTTTTGGTAGACGTCGGCAAAAGCGGAGTAGGTTTTTTAGGCTGAGCTTGAGCTTCGACAACAAACCGACTTCACGTCTTCCTTTCGTTCCTAGTTAAACTTGAATCGACACAAACTTGGACTTTTGCCAGCCCACTCTCAAAGGCTGAAAATTCAACAATATCGGCGTCTACCGTCAGGTACTTCTCCACACCGTCATAGTCATCCAGAACAGCGTCAAATATATCATGGACACTTGCTACAGTCATGTCATTGCGCTGTAGCTTTTCTGTGATAACGTCGAATGCCGTTGTTTCATCCAGCAAAGCTCATATTTTCTCTGCTCACTCACAGACGGTATAAGATCGACCAACCTGACGCCACGAAGCTCTTCATCAACAGTATGTGAGTGAAGACTTTATTCCACACCGGCATCGTCTTAGCCAAGGTGCAGGGAAGAGCGGTAGACTTCAAAATGCTGCATCATCCGATAACAGCCGCTCCAACGAAGTTTAGGTATGGGCACAGATTTGTAAGCACACCCTTTTTGTATGCGTTTGACAATGCGTTTCACCGTTTTAAGCTTTCGCATTACAGCACTCACCTTTCTGCTAAGATGAGAGAGCGGATTGCTATGGATATGGGCGCAAAGTTTGCATCATGTTTGACGGCCGGACCTCGGAGCAATGCACTAACAACGCAGCCGAGCTTGCTCGCCATACCGATTACAAACCATTATAATCAAGCGCGTATCGGAGGTCGTCCACCTACCAGATGCTCGCTTGCTCGTGTAGATTCGCGATGCCATCAAGGCGGTAGCTGCAGTCGAAGATCTGCTTCTTCACTCGCTTACACACCGCAAGATTGTACAACTTGTCAGCAAGCTGAAAAGTTCTTGATACCGCCTGTGTCAAGCTCCAATCGGAGGATCGAACTCTAAGCGATGTGAGGCTCCCATTTAATGTTGAAATAGCGAAGTATCCAGCTACTTCGCACCACGTCAGTCCTTTGGAACTAATCGTCCATTCTCCAGGCTTCGAAAGAGCTGTGGTCAAGCTGCTAACGAGCCGAACCATGCACGCTGAGGAAGAGGAGACTGTCGCTCACTTTGCTCTTCCCGCTCCTTTCCCGATTGAGGCCCCCAATAAGGCGAACGTTGCGACGGAAACACTGCGCCACGCAAAACGACCACGCCGCGCTACCGAGACCGAGTACGCTGCCCTACTTCGGCACCCCCCCCTCCCACCAGCAATCGGTGCGAGCACCTCTTCTCTCAGTGCAAGTTGGTGCCGAGCCCTCTATTCTCTAGTTTGCTACCTGCGAACTTCGGGATGATAATGTTCTTGCGTACTAACCCTGAGCTTTAGGACTTTACCACTCTCTTGGGATTAAGCAGCCCTGACGACCAAGGAGCTGAGAGATAAAATGTTCCCGCTCTGCAGCCCGGGGGTGTAGGTCCAGACCCTGATAAACCTTTTATCTTGAATAACATAGATTTCAGGTCGAATATAGCTAATAGGCGGTCATTTACTTTCCTGTGCAAAATCCCATATCCGCTGGTTGACTGTCTTGTGCCGTCGTCGGCTCATTTGGATTGATGGGGGACTCTAACCAGGACACCAGAACCTACTGACAGCCACCAGCATCACAACAGGTGCGGATTTTGAGCCCACGCGTAGTGAATTAGTGGTCGCTTCCAAGCCACACCAGTGTTCTGACCCTAGCAATGATTTATAATATTGCAATACTTGTTATTGCCAAACTAGCTCAATTTTATACCTTATTGTCCGAGCCCTGTCTATAGAGTACTAGTATAGGAGTAATCTTTTAGGAACGTCCAACGGATGAAGCAGTTCGGTTCAGCGTTGTAGACTACGAACTGTGACTACGGATGCACATTAGTCCGTGACCATCCCCAGCTTTGACAGCTACCTTGGCATTTTTAGGGTTCGACTGAATGCATTGCCATGGCGACCGGCTATCAGGTACATTAGTAATCCCCATCAACGTCTAAATTTAAGCATTCTGCCGACCATTAGTGTCCTTTTTTGTCTTGGACGTTTTCCATTCCATGTTTGATTTGATATCAATATGCCGTTCAACATCCCACAGCGAGTCCGCGTATTTAGAGACAGCGTTTGCAACGACTCAAGCTCGGGCTTCTATCCTTGAGCTAAGCGTTAACGCTATACATTTCTTTTAGAAGTAGTTATTTAGAAGCTACTACGTAGTAAGCCAGTACTTTACGCCAGCATTCCATCATTTTCAGCACATTTCATAATGAACAAAATACCAAATTACCAAAATATCATCGGACACAGATTGGTGCTAAGCGCAACGAGAAAATACGGCATCGATTTGGATAAACTGTTTTATCATTTGCTTTCTCTGTGAGTATGCGTTTCAAGGCACATAATTTCGCAGGGTAGGTGTAGCTTAGCTTTGGATACAAAAATTAGTACTGCCAACAAATATCTTCGGAAGAATCTCAAAAATAGTTTTAAAAAATGAAGAGATCAAAAACTTCTCATATCACTCCACTCACTCACGCTGCCTTGGAATAGCGACAGCGGACGTTCATCAATGGGGGAGACCAAGTTCAAAAGAGAACCCAGCACTGCAGCCACCGACATCCCGAGTCAATGAATGAAGTCCAATACGATCATCAAAGTTATTGAGATTGTCTACGAGGAAAGTCAAGTAGAAAAGAAGGTACTACAGAAATGATTCTGTGTAAGTACGGTCTTGTTTTGCTCATTTCAAAGTTGTTACACCATATACAGAAAATTCAAACCACATGTACAAAGCGTAACAATATTATGTATTCTGATTGGCCGATCCACTTCAACGACCTGCACTCTTTGTTCAGTATTAACTCTTCAACATCTACACGACGACCGAATCCATTGCCGCACTACCAGCTTCCATTGTCGCTTCACCCACTTCCCTCTGTGCGTTAAGAAGTGCAGCCATCTCTTCCAGAATTCCGGCTGTTTGCTGGTGGTTGCCAACCCACATAGACGCACTCTCCCGCTTGTGGCGGACCCGCATTGCGCCAGAATTCGAAGCTGCCAGAGGCAGAGGCAGGTTGCAGTCTGGGAAGCGGTTACGAGCTTCGTTCATGACGTAGCTCCACACTGCCTCCTCGCCCTTGATCTGTTGCAGCGCGAACAGAGCCACCACGGACGATACCACCAGCCAGGATGTCGTGGCTTCTGCGAGTCCAACGTGACGAAAAACGCCGCTCCAAGCTCCTCGTGCGCAGAAACAATGAGCGACTCGAACGCCGTCTTGGCTCTGAGTTGACGATTGTTGCGTTTGTTGAACTCGGCGGGATTGAGCTTGCGAGACATGGAGCCCCAGAAGTTGCGCTCCCACACAGCGCGCGAGTGTCTGAGCCAAAAAGTGCGGAACGTTTTGGCAAGTGCAGGGTGTTTTTCCTCGTCAAATGGAGGCGACACGTTGCTGTAGGCTGCTTGCCACGGTGTTTGGGCCTCGAAGTTCTCCATCTTGCGTGCCAATTCCCGCTGGCTGCGACTTTTTTTCCTCACTCATGACTGGTTTCCCTCGCTTTGCTGGTTTGTCATTGGCTGACTTGAGTCGCTTTCGTGACTTTTCTTTGGATCCTTCACTGCTTGTTAGTTTTTCTACGTTGGACTTGCGTTTCCGATGTCGCGTGGGGAGCGAGAACTCGCCAGACACTCGAGATACGAGATCGTTTAGAACAGACTGGACTACCTCCGTGATGGTTGTTGTAGCTTCTTCATGTTGCGGTAAAGTGCGCGTTGGTGGCCTCTTCCTACGCCTTGAAGTTGATTTTAAAGTTGAGGATGGGGCTTCTGTCGTGACCGCTTCCGAGGCTGCTGCTGTAGCTACAGCGGCGGCACCTGGTAGTGGCGCAGTTCTAACCATTGGCACTCTGCCTCGTTTCACGGTCGACTTCGAAGCATTTTTCGAGGCTATTGAGACTGTAGTCTGCGTCTTTGACTTCTGACCACGCTTTGGAGATAAAGCAGCGGGTTGAGCGTCTGTCACCACAGCGCTCACTACTTCCGTTGTGGCCACAGAGTTGGCTGTTCTAGTAACTTGAGGCTCGACTGGTTCAGTTGAGGATACTGGAGCCGCATCTCCAAGTTCCATGGTGGCAGAATCTGCGTTTTGCAGTGACGCAGCGATAGATTTCACTTTTCTGCCACGTTTCGGCGTTGATTTAGCAGTGTTCGTCATAGCAGGCTCTTCTGGAATCCTTGTGGGGACAGAGGCGGACACCGTTGCAACCTTTGACTTGTCTCGACGCTTTGTAGTCGATTTAGGTGACACAACTTGTATCACGACAGACTCCATCGCTGCCGTTGCAGCTACGGAGATTGCATTTTTACGTGGTGACGCAGTGCCAGTCCTTGGCTTTCTCACACGCTTTGGAGATGGCTTACCAGGCTCTGTCCCGACAGGCTCGACCAGTTCTCGTATGGTTGCAGGTGATGTATCCTGTGCTGACACAATACTTATCTTGGATGGTCGGCCACGCTTCCGAGTAGCCTTTGTAGTCTCCATCGTAGCAGACTCCGCAGGTGGCGCTGCAGCTACCGACTCTGCATCTTGTAGTGACGTCTTAGTAGTCTTTGGCTTTCTCACTCTCTTTGGGGTCGGAGAAGCTACCGTCATGGGTAGATTCCATGTTGGCCTGCATCCTGTCGCACTGCTGTGCTAGCCCTTGTCATTCTCACATGCTTCGAGGGCGACTTAGCATCGGTCGTTAGAGCGTCTTTCACGACAGATTCCACCAGTTGTGGTATAAAGGCTGCCTCCTGTAGTTGCGATGCGTTGGGTTTAGCCTTCCTGTCGCGATTGGGCTTAGCTGGTGCCGTAGTAGCTGTAGCTACAGAGACCTCATCTGGCAGGGATAAAGTGCAGGTCTTTGACTTCCTTCCACGCTTCAGAATTGGCGTAGAGGTGTCCGCCGCAGCAGGTTGAACCGAATCCGATACGGCTGCAGAGACAAGATCCGGCATGGACACTTTGCTAGTCTTTAACTTCCAGCAGCTCTTGGTTGCGGGTGGTAGAGTTTGAGGCACGGCAGGTTTGACAACTTCCGTTGTGGCTTGAGAAACTGCATCTTGTGTTGCTTTCGACTTTCTTCCACGCTTTGGAGTCTTGGAAACTTTTGTCACATCCGATCCGACCGATTCCGTACAGCTGTAGAGCTTCCTACAATGCAGGACGTAGTTCTAGTCTTGATCTTCTTGCCGCGCTTTGGCTTCGAAGCGGTAGCAGGGGCAGAGGTCTCTGTCCCAACAGAGTCACGTTCCGTTGCAGCAACAGAGGCTGTTTGCTGCAGTGGCTTCGTAGTTTCCTTTGTCGGTCTAGCGCGCTTTGGGGCCGATTCAACAGGACTAGAGGCTGGTGCCACACTAGCATTCTTGCTGTTTGTGCGTCTACGCTTGGTCGTAACCTCCGCTTCAGCACGAGTGTCGGATGGTGTCTGCTGCACCCGACTCCCAGCTTGTTTCTGTTTCCCTTTCGTCTTCTTCTGGGTGACCAAGGGAGCTACTTCATCTGCAACGACGGGCGTCGAAGCTACTGCTGTCGACGGCTTTTGCACCGTCTTGCGCTTCCGGTTCTTTTGTCATTCGCTCGACAGACTGCTCGACGCAGCTTGCGGTCCGCTCAGTTGCATTCTCCACGACGCAAAGGATATTCTTGAGGTGCTGGAGGCGGTGGCAGCTGCGTCATCTGTGGCAGTTTAGAGGGGATGACACTGATCACTTGACACCCTCTCTCCACGAACGCCATTAGCGACGTTTCCCGTTTGTACACGAACTCAAGGAATAAATTCTTAAGTAGTGCCATGTTCCGTGTGGCTGCGCGCTGCTGTAGATACAGGAAGACGCACCCACGAGTGTCCAGATGATGCTTTGGTTTGGCAAGGAGAAGTGCCGCTTCACGACGTCTTTGGAAGCTGGTGCTCAGCACCGGGTACATGGTGATGATGGTACAGCCGTGTTGCATCATGGGGACCAACGTGTTCTCGTGTTCGTTAAGGAAATCGGCAAAAATGCGACGCAGCATCAACATATTCACACACTTGAGGCGCTGCTCCAAATACGCAGCGAAATCTTGCAGCATAGCGTGATCTCGAGGCACAGAATCGGGTGGGACCCTTCCGCGACTCACGTACCCATCTAGTGTCACGATGGAGCGCGCTTGCGTCGTCTACCTCGAGGCCGTCGCCATGGCGTCCACTATCCGGTGATGTTGAAATGGAGGATTCTATCGTAATACATTAAAATACGCCGAATTGATTTTCGTTATCACCCGAAATATATTTAAAATTCAAACACAATCATTGCTGGACACTTCATTTTGAGATATAAATTATTGAGATACATTGATTTTGCCGTTTCCTTACACTACGGAAAATGAAATCTAGGACGGGGCAGCAAGGAAGACGACGATTACGCGGCTTGTATGAAGCAGAGAGCCAACATTCTGGTGGATAACCTCTCGCTGACAATGTTAAGTGACGTGGCCTAGGGAATGCTAGAGTTGGTTACGTATAAGCACATTCGTATCAACTATCAGAAGCTTTACACGCTGATGCAGAGCTGCAGCAGCCTTGCTATAACCGGTTTAGGCAAGCTGACTCGGTCAAGAGACAAGCAGCCGCAGAAGTAGGACTTCGTTGGGCTTGTGCGATTTTACGTAGGGGTAGGCAATTTTGTGTACACATGATACACCATTTTTCTTATACTACAACAGGCATGCCCTTTCAGAGAGGCCGCGGTAGGGTAAGGGCAATGGCTTTTTTCTGATGCCAATTGGATACATTTCGCACGAGACGCATCCGGAGCCTGCGCACGTTTGAAAAAATCTGCGCTTCACTATCGAATCTACCGCGAAGCTATCTGCTCTACTGGTGCGAAAGGCCCACAGCGCACGTGCGACTACCAAGGCTATAGGCACACGTAATTTATGAATAGTCTGTTTTGGTCCAACGTAAAATATTTGTTTTGGTTATTGTATGCAGAATGGACATCTCCGAACTCCTATCGACGCCAGGATACGTGTGTGACAATTGTCACCACGACTTTGGGCGGTCGGACCACCTACGGCTGCACCAGCAAGGACGCTGCCGCGGTATCCCTGCGCCCCCGTGCCAGCTTTGTGACGTGTGTTGGCATTGGGTCAAGGGGAACAGGCACCATGTCACGCGCCATCAGCGAGGGAGTAGGTGCCGCAATCTCGCCGATCGCATCGAGCACCGGAACCAGCTGGCTGCAGCGAGGCGACAACGCGACGCAGCATACCACCGAGAGCGACGTCGTCTGCAGCGGGAGTCCGTTGGAACCCAAGAAAAGCTGGTGGGACCTGACGATGTGCAAGATCGGTTGGACCAGCTGCTCGAGTCGGATGATAGGCATGATCGGTCGGACCAGGTGGATGATTTCGACACGGACAATCCGACTCAACATGATTACACCCGAGATCAAGTTGCTCGTGATGACGATGATTATGCACATGATCTTCTTGATCAGCTGCTGTTGACTGGAGATGATGAGCTTTCGGACATCGTTGCCGTTCCCAGCTTTTTGGAGCTAGAACATCAAGACAATGACGACCATCAAGCGAGTCAAGGTGCACAAGAAAATCAAGTTCATCAGGAAAATGGGAAAGCGGAACATGTCCACGCACAAGGTCACCAAGAATCAAGCAAGGCTACGGGGCGCGACGGTGTTACTGATTGCGTCATATGCCTGGATCCTCTCGATGCATGCATGCAGGCATGTGGCGGCACCACCAACGTGTGTGGTTTGCCTCAGGGTCATCACGGGCGTGGTACTGGAAGGACCTCAATGTAGCCACACGGCTGACTACGAGTGTCTCGTGGCGTACAACGCTCAGTATCTGCGCAATATCCGAGCCCGTGACTTGCAGTGCCCAGCGTGTTCGCAGCCGTTCCCAGTCCCCGGTGAGCTATCCTTCAGTGATGAGGAAAACGACGAAGGATCGGAAGACAACGCCTTTGAGTATGAAAAACCGGATGAGGAATCAGAAGAATCAGAAGGTGCGCAAGACGATGGAGGCAACAGTGTTGACGAATATCACGCGAGTGTCTTCAGCAGCTCTTCTGACAGCGATGAGGATTACGCCCCCTAAAGATAGGGAGTAGGCATGAGAGGTAGTGTCTTAAAATTGAAGGTCCAAATCCGTCGTTTCAATTTGTATTGGAATTTGTAAGTATCAAAAGTACAAAAAGAGACGATAGTACAATAACGGGCGACGGTACAATAAGGGACGACAGTACATTAAGGGACGACAGTACAATAAGGGACGGACGATAGTACAATAAGGGACGACGGTACAATATGGGACGACGGTACAATAAGGGACGACGATAGTACAATAAAGGACGACGATAGTATAATGGAGGGGGTAAGTACAACAGAGGACGATGGTACAATAAGGGACGATAGTACAATTAAGGCCGATGGTACAATAAGGGACGATAGTACAATTAAGGCCGATGGTACAACAAGAGACGACAGTATGGTACAGTCAGGGACGTCAGTACAATTAAGGACGATTGCACACCGCTACTTTACTGGCTCTCCTTCGGTTACGAACTGCTGCAAGGATCTTGTTGACGGTGAGCTCCTCGCCAATGAAGGTTGCGAAGTCCTTCTCGAACTTGTCTTGGTCATCGTCGTACTGCTCGCGAATGAGCTCGGCGATGATCTTCATCCTGGAGAGACGCGAGCGATGAACTTTCGCTCATGTGAAAGCATGTCAACTCCCGCGCGATACTGGTGACAGTCCGGGTTCGCATTCCAGTACTGATGAACATAGTCTTTCCACGACTTGGCGTCCGGAAGTTCAGACACTAGTGCTGTCGTATCCGATCCTGGCTTAAGATTAGCGGCCACTGGCACTTCAATATCGTCGTCACACAGCTGTTCTTGGGTTGAACGCGGTGTATCGCTAATAGCCTTGACCATTTCATGCAGCCCTTGAGGCAGTGACTTCAGCTCTCCCAACTCGGTGTTAGAGGTATCAGTGTGCTCTTGTGCGGCGTCTGCTGATTCGGTCGTATGCTGAGTATCCTGCATAGTCTCGTCTGATAACTATGAGCCTCCAAAGTCGATATCCCGTATACCTTCGAGAGTCGCGCTACTGCATGACGTCGCGTCCGGAGCCAGCGAATCGCCCAGTTGGTTCTCATCTCGATCCAGTACGTCGTCCAGCAGATATCTAGTTACTGTTTCGGACTTTTCGCTTGGTGCCCACCCTGCCCACCACTTCACGAGCTTTAGTGACCACCGTCGATCTTCAGGGGCAAACATGAACCGGTACTGTGCACCACCTGGACGGAAACAGTGGGATGTAAACCAAATCTCGTCACCAAGCACGTTTCGGCTGATTCCAGCGGCCTCAGCGATAATGTTTAATACCTGAGTAAAGTTGCTATCTGACATTGGCGAGCCCCATTTTATTCCCACGTTAGCAAAAGAGTCGCCGCTCGCTAAAACACCTATCTCCCGCCTTCGCTTCTTGGATGTGCCGCGTGGTACCTTCGTCAATGATGGAAACGCGTAGTCGCTGTCACGCCAGGTGTGGTGAAACTTCTTCCGCGCGTACGTAAACCATCTATCCAAGAAAGTCAATGCTTCAGCTGCCCGTTCTTCCTTCGTGAGATGATGGAGTTAGTAGGTTCGACTTGCGAGGGGATTATGATCTGTCTTCCGGTCACGAATAGTGAAACAGCCAAACTCGATGTCGCTGTCATTAACGCGCGATTTTCGTTTGAGACCAAGCTGAATGTCGCCCTTCTTCATGAGCAAGACTTCGTTGATACGGCACATACCATAGAAGCTGAGAGAACAAACCGCAGAAAACCACAGCCGCATGGTTTCGTTGAACATCGAATTCGACTCCAAGAATGTAATGACCTTCGTCAGCATCAACAGGGACATCGGGGACGCACGATTTGGAGTCCGCTCGCGCTTCTTGAACTTGCTGAGACCGGCGAGAATCTGCGTGATGGCTGCTGACCGTGCCGGGTTGCCTCGAGGTGCTATGGTGCCGTCCGGAGAAGTCTCAACAACCCAACGATCGTGTGGGTGGCCACCGGCTAGCATCTCAGGTTTCGTGTAGTGCCAGCTAAGCGCAGCGCGAAGCTTTTCAGCGGGCCATTGAGTCGAGTTGGAGGTGGCGAGTAAGTTGATGTACGCGGCCACCACACCGGGCAGCTCCACAAATCGTTCCTTCAGTGGGTCTGGGTAGCCTTCACTTTTGCAGAACGCTGAGAATCGTCGAAGACTGCTGCTGTAGTCGCTACGCGTCCGGCTCTCGAGCCTTTGATCCGCAAACTGGGCTGCAGCGATAGCAGCTTGGTAGAGTCGACTTGTGGTTGGCAGGTCCATTAGCGCCTTCTTCACGGGTTGGTCTTAGCAGCAAAAGGTGAAATGAAGATCTCTTACATTCGGAGGATGGTCTCGGGTATCCGTCGTCCCTTATTGTACCCAAAATGTCGTCCTTTATAGTCCTGTGCCTCAAATGCAAACGCATGGTGCTGACAAATGAGTTCTACAGTAAATCAATGACTTTTCAGTTTTTTGACCAATCAAGGCACATCGCACGGTCATTTATTGGGCTCGCACCAGTGGGAGAAGTGGAAAGACAGCAGCTAAATTAAGCGCCCATAGGTCGCCAAGCACGCAGCGGAGCTCAAAAGAGGGCAGCCAACAGCCGAACCGCGGAAAAGTGGGGGTGCACAACACGACACGTGATACACTCCGCCACCGCGGGCAGGACGTCTTCACTACAAGGGTGGACGTCGGCTAAGAGATAGCCCAACTGCCGCACCTGAAGAAAAGAAAGAAGCCAGGTCACATAAGAATAAGGCTTGGAAAGTCAAGCGTGCAGCTGAAGGGAAACCGTCGACAGAGATCGCTGGACCCGATGATGGAGAGAAAGTAGTGAACAAGGTGTTAAATGACGAGGAGTACACAGGTCTGATCAATGGAGCCGTGGGGATCTGAATGTGTCCAGACACGGGTGCAGACAAGTCTATCCTTCAGCCAGCAGATGCAATACAACAAGGTTTAAATGCAGGACGGCCGGTAGGGACTCAAAGACTCGAACACCTGAGTGTACCGGTAGGTAAAAAAACTACGCCGAGTCATGAGGCTGCTCCGATTGATGTGCAAATATGCACCGCCGGTTGTGACTTCCTGGTCGTCGAAAAGGAAGATAAGTGGGTGACGGGAATTCTATGGCTAAGTCCTGTGGGTCTTCTCGGTTATTTTCGTTGGTCTGTTTCAGTATGCGTTGGCGTTGGCTCGGAGCGACTATGGATTTCAATTCTAGGATCAGACAAAATGGATGCGGCAGTTACTCTCAGAATGGATGTGTGTTCCATGTATACAAACGATATCCTCTTAACATTAAGACGCAACCAAATAAGCGGAATAATCCTGTCATCACTACTCAAATCCAAAGGTAACCGACTCAGACCCCCACCGTCTGTACGCAAGTGGTATCTTTGACTTGACGCGTCGTCTCCGGAACTCCATGATCCCTATAAATGATCCCAACACGCTATTAACTACAGTGAGTGTAGTAGCGTTTACGCACGTTTCTCCTTTTCCACAGTAAACAGCGACTGCAGAGAAGACCATGACAAGTGCCATGATAACCAATCCTCCATCAAAGTACCATCGAATCCATCCTGACCTGACATCATCAAGTAGTGCTGCATCAAAATCATGTTACAGTAGTTTTGGGGGAGAATAACGCACTTACGCTTGTACTTGATGCCTTGATCCGGCTCATCCGGACATTCCACCAGCACATGGATGTCTCTGTCTACTCGCTCGAGGTTGTCACCGAAGTATTCATCATTGTTGAGTCTGCACGTCTCGTCCAGTAGCAAGTGCTCTTGCATGAGGTTTTTGATTCGATCTGGAATTGTTTTCGCCTTAACTGCCTTAATGTCTGCGTCTCGCGAGTTCAGCCAAGTGTCACCCTCCCGCGCGAGATACAGCTTCAGCAGATCTGCATCAAAGTAGAACAACCCAGGCTTCTCCCCCTTGATCTTCTCTTTCAGATCACTGACCGTCTCGCTGAGCTCAATGTTCACAGAGAAGACGCTCCCGACTCGAATCACCGCGCAGAACAGCTTCACCATCGTGTTCCTTTTTTGTGGAATGCCAGATTTCCCTCTCTGAGTCCCAATTATTCTTTCAATTAATTCCACAATTCATAATGCAATTCATTAGCTGATAGAAACGAGGATGTGTAATTTTTGTTTAAATTCTACAGTTTTAGGATAGCTTGATGGAGTCACCGGCTGCTGGACTACCAGCAGTGAATTTTGCTCAAATTCTACAATTTTAGGATAGTTTGGCGGGGCAGCTGCAGGATATCCTGCAGGGTACAGTATACGTCGAGTAATATGAAATTTTAACTTATAAATTACAATTTTAGGATATATAGAATGATCCGAGAAATGTATCTGAGCTACATAGACAAGTGTCAATCTCAAATTTTACAAATCTAGGACTACAACATATAAAAGCTGAAGGAGAGCGCAAAAACATTGATGCGGATAAGCTGCTCATATGAGACAACCCAAAACAAAAATGATACTTATGAACCTTAGTACGAATCGCGATTTAAGCACTCTAAACGAAAGCGGGGCGTCTCCGCTATCTTTTGAGCCCTTATAAGCTTCAGAATGCTTAAAACTGAAGAAGTTGTGGTCGCTCAAAAAGATTATATCCATTTATGGGCCCTCGAAATGACGATACATTTAGGAGTGTTGTGAGCTCAATATTTTTTTAATTTTAGAGATTTAAGTGTTATTTAAAAGCTCTTGCTAAAAGCAATTGAATAAAGGTAGTTTTACAGATTTTTCGATGGAAGTTTACAATAAATGTCACTGTTTCGGCTAAGTGTGAACATCAATTGGCCAACTTTAAGCTCGATTATCTCGATAACTCTAAATGGTTCGTAAGTATCATTTTGTTTGACGTTGTCTCATATGCAACCCTACATAATCTCTTATATATATGCATTACTTGCTGGAACTATCTATCCACCAACCACCAGACTAACTACAACAATACATAGTGAAGAAGTGCGCTTTTGACCCTACTTGCCACCAATATGCCCCCATACTTGACCCCTTTATTCTATTTTATTTCTGTATAAGTGTTTAAAGAAAAATTATAGATATTGTCGTAGTAAATACTGTAGGGCCAAGGGGGGCATTTTTTCCATTTTGCTGCGAATTTTAAGGTTTGAAGATAGGGTAGGTTTATCTATATCTAGTATGTTCATCTTCATTTGATATCGCAGGATGTATTGACTCTCGACTTGACCTCAGGGGGCAATCCACTTTGTCTTGACATATGTTTTTCTTAAGAGCATCTCTAGTAAAAAAAAACTAGGATACAGACGTTATTTACAGATACGCACTTAGCGAGTTCAACAGAGAATCGTGTGAATATATCTTACATCTAACGCTATGGCTTTTCGAATCCCCAGAATGTGGTTAGCTGGTCTAAGTGAATGCCATAGAGCCGAGCGCCTTATAGCTGTTATTCTCACAAAACTGTTTATAGCAATTGTAGAGCCCTGTCGGAGTCTTACGGACGTCCTTGACATCAGACGATCCCTCTGAGACGCCCCAGCTCATTCAAATAGAACTTAATTACACTACAAGCTTGCAACTGCTTCAACTCTTGCTCGTATTCGTTTTTGCGTTTGCTGAGCATTCCAACCAGATTCAACTTCGACATTATTGATCAAAGAATGAAAAATATGCTTGCCAGCAGCATCAACATGAGCTAGAACCTCAAAGTAATGGCTATAATAAGTATGGTCACCAACTAAATAAATATTAGTTTCTAAGCATAAAGCGCGTCGATCAGACTCTTTAATGAAGCTTGAGAAATCGTTGTTACTTAGAAAAATGTAATTGTTGTAATCTTTGAAAAGCCTCTTTACCTTTATGTTTAATAGTAACTGTGTCTGAAAAAATTAAGCTTTCAAACATATTCATTGCTGCTTTGTTTTTGCTATCTACGGCTTCATCAAGTACCGTCATGAGCAGAGATTGACGCATACCAATAAATCGGCCAGTGATCTGGTCCATATTACAAACCGTTTAGCTAGGCAACCACCAATGACAAATCGATTCTGCGGAACGAGTCGCGCAGATACTAGGAACCAATTCCCCAGCAATGGCCTTATCTATAGTATACGAGCATGAGGCGAGGCTATCGGCCTCTCCACCTGTGCATCCACTCACCGTAACGGTGCGGGGAACTGAGCGGATTGAGGCATTGCTGCAACTGGATACCCAAGGCCCTTCCCGGGGTCATGTTGTGGACAGCCAGCCAACACTTAGCAGATTAATTACCAAGGAGCTGCAATCGTCCAGCATACTCTACCAAGTGCGGCCACATCCAAGGTTGAGTCGCCTCACATGTCTGCGGGTTGGAGGCCGAAGATGGACACGCACGAGACTCGAATTCAAACAGTGTATAAGACACTTCGCACGTCAAAGCCGAGCCACGAAGGCTGCCTTACGCATGACCAAATGGACCTCAGCAAGCCCTACTGCTGCAGCAGCATTGTGTGACCTCAAATGGAAGCAAATTCGTCGAGTAGTGGGGCATGGGCCGTGGGGGGAGCAGCTACTGCTAAAACTCAAATGGTACACCCTCTTGCTCTATGATGCCGCCCATCAGAAGATCGGGTGCCCCATGAGGGCTGTGTCCATTTGGCCGACACTGACTTGTATAACGTATTCTGGGATTGTCCGGCGGCGAGGACATTACGACAACTTATGACACGAACGTGACTCACGGCGGGAATCAAGAGCTCGGCAATCGAACACGCGATCTTCAGCATGGAGCTGCTGCTGATGCTAGCAGGGGTCTGGCGAGCAGCGGACAAAATGTACGACCACCATATCACGCTGTCCAATCATTTTATGGAGGCAGTCACGATGCTAGCCGAGCGTTGTTGGAGACTAGGGGCAGCAATACTGCTGCAACGGGTTGGAGATGGCGAGTCAACCACTTTGATTCTCTGACAAAAGTGTCAGAGCAAAGTCAAGCCGCGGCCTTCAAATGGGCGCTCTGGCAGGGGTACTCCACGGTTTTTACACACACACAGCGGCACAACTTCACCCCACGTTTGGACCCCTTGCGATCCAGCTCATGCGACGCGTGCTGACGTCGGAGTCGGTGGTAGATTATCTCTAATTCACAGACAGGGGAGCGACAAAGTACCTGCCATTCTTCGACGGGAGGGGGGGGGGTCCCGTGGCAATCCGGGGCCCGGAGGCAGCGCAGTAGCTATCCGTACAGCAGACGCCACTGTCCACGCCCAGGTCTGCTGGATCGGCACGATGTCGTACGCCAATCCGCGCTTCACCAACAACATAAGAGAGCACCTCGGCTTATTCTGCGGCCTCAAGGCCTGTGATAAGCACACCTTTGAACCGTTACACGTTATCGGAGGTAGCGCAATGATCATTAGACAACTCTAACAAAGAAAGCCTCTTAAAGCCAAACACTTTCAAAACTACTATTGGCAGAGCAGGAAACTCGCCGACAGACTTGACGTGGTGGCGTGGCACCATCATCTGAGGGAGTTTAACAAGATGGCTGATACATTGGCCAACATGGCGATGGATAATACAAGTAGCACGCAGGGCCTTCTGTCTGAGGACACAACGGCAACAGTACGCTGGGCGAAAGTGCTTAAGCACCTGTAAGGAGACGCGATCACGTACGGGTGCAGTATGACAACAGCGTGACGAAGAACGGAGTGGCGTGCGCGAAGGCAGGCAGCTGCCGGATCACTGTAGGACGAACAATGAAGAGAACGACGACAGCTGGTTGAAGTACCGCGGGCCAGACCCGCGATCTGTTGGGTAGACACAATGGTGTACGGCCAACGGAAGACAGAGAACGGAATCTGGTGCGGAGAGGACAGTACGAAATCTGCGGCGTAGAGCAGAGGACGAATTCTGCGGTGAAGAGCGCGGAGCGATAAACAGTTGCGGCGACGGGGGACCGAGTGCCCAGTAGCCGACCAGACGAGAGACCAGTGAGCGACTTGACCCGTGAGTCAAGCGCGCATTGGACCAAACGAAACGAACGCCAGCGAGCGACTTGACCCGAGCGTCGAGCGCGAGTTGGACCAGACGAGCGAACAGACGGACTTGGTGTACCGCGGCAACAGAGTTTGGTGAGTGAGCGGCAAAAGGAGCTGTGTCTCCCCTGTGAACGGCGCATATAGTGGTACCTCGAGGGTGCGCCGAGCTTGAGTGTCTAGTAGTAGGATAACTGGTCATTCGGGCGCAACGGCGTCAACACACTGAGTCGTAGGGCATTAGGTAGGACGATTGCATTTGATTGAGTAGTTGAAACGAAATAAAGTAGGTGTTCCTGTCTAAGAGGCAGACTCCGTCGGCCATCCGGACTTTGGACGTAATCAGCGCTGGGCGACCAACCCCGGCGTGCAGGGGAGCCGAAGACACGTTTCATGGTGGTCATACAGGGGCGTTAAGCAAAAGAGAACGACTTACACGACGCTTGACACTTACGAGATCGACCAGCCTTACGAGATCGACGACTCGGATAAGTTACGAACGGATTACGGATCGTTGTACTACGATTCACTATAGTGACCAATGAGGGGAAAACAACGAACGGCAGTGGCCAGCAGCATGACCACGCGGTCTAGACGCGGTACGGGCCACGCAGCGACGACGCAGGAGGCGACGAGGAGAGCTCCGGAGGCTCAAACGACGGACGCGGCGGCGGATGCAGGGACAGTAGGGAGTGCTCGACAAGCACCCGCAGCTGAGACAACGACGAGAGGCAGCGGTGACGCAGCACTCTTAGCCACTTTGAACAGAATGATCACGACGGTAGCTAGGTTGGAGTTACGGGTAGCAGGGATGGAGACCGCTCGGGCAGCGTCACGCCCAGTATCCATGCCATCGACCGGACCCACCAATACGCTGCGATCAATTGATGCGGGGATCGTACCGCCGCATACAGGTTCCTCGGCGTCCTCGAGACCATCGTCGGGTAGAGCGACGAGGAACAGGGCGAACTCGACACCAGCACGCACGAGCCGGAGGGCACCAGGACCCGATGGAAGTGGAGGTGGCGATAGCAGTGACGACAGCGACGACAGCAGTAGCAGTGACGATAGCTACGATAGTAGCAACGAGGACGCCGAAGCTGGCAACGACGGACGACGGCGGCGACGGAACCGACGCAGGAATCAACCACGACGCAGGCGCCAGCACCGGAAGAATGTGAAAGACTTGGAGTTGACGGCGTAAAAGCCATCGCCGACGATCTCCGTCTCGACATGGATCGCCAGGGTGGACTTAGCGGTAGAAGGAGCGAAGATCTCTGGACGAGGCGACTGGACGGACAAGGAGCTCTACTTCATGGTTGGCAACAAGTTGCAGGACAACGCGGCAAGTTGGTGGGTTCAAATGAACCAGGAGCTCCGAGACGAAGACAAGACCTGGACCCACTTGAAAGCGGCGCTGATGCGGAGGTACGGTGAGCGGCCGGACCAGGCAATGGCTGAATGGCGTGTGTACCAGAGGATGATGTGGCCAGGAGAGACGTTTGCGGATTTTGCTGCCGGATTGCGGGCAGTCACGGGCCAGAACCACGTCAGTGAACATACCCTACTGGCACAGTTCTATCGCAATCTGGACAGGACGACGAGGATGTTGGTGAAGCAGGAACCGGCGCCTACAACGCTGGAGCAGGCAGTGGACAAGGCGACGGCTATCGACGACCCGATCGAGAACGTAGCGCGCGGGATGGTGAACATTGGCCGGCCCTGTGCGATGGCAACGAACGCGTTTGCGGTGCCTATGGACGGTACGACGGGGAGAGTTGCGATTATTCCAGGCGTTGGCACGGGAGCGGTATCGATGGCGGACATGTTAGCAGCACAGACGGGTACGGAAGGTGCGGAGATAGCATACTTCACCAACCCCCAGGGCGTTTATAACAAGTTCACAGGCACATGGGACGTCCCTGAGGGCAGGTTCTGGAACGGCAGGTATTGGCAGCCGTCAACGCGCAATCAGACGAGGACCCGAAGTGATAATCGCTCAAGTGGGAAGCGGCACGGCGGATACAGCAGTAAGAAGGCGAAGGTCGGACTGTTGCAGGTGGCGACCGAGGCGAGTAAAGAGTCAGAACCCGAGGAAGCAGCACCGTCCCCGAAGCAGAAGAAACGGAAAGCCTCAGTGCGGCAAGCGACCGGCAGAGATCGGCCGACGACAGTAAACAGTGACGAGCGACGAAGTTGGGAACCCATCAGGTGCTTTGCCTGTGGTGGCGAGGGCCACATGGCACGGGAATGTACGAACGCAGAAGCAAAGGCTCGTAACGACGCGTATCTAGCGGCCCGCGCTGAAGCGGAAGCCAAGAAGGCGGAAAACGAGAAACGGGCGTAGTCGGGGGACGACTGCGTCCGGTAGAGAACTCGGTTCCCCGGACGACGGCGCCAAGAGAGGTAGAGGGTGACGAGCAGACGGTAACAGTGAACAGCAACAAGACCGACGGGAGCAACAAGGCTGCGGTGGAGGCGGCTCGGGCTCATTTGGAGACAGAACGGACGGAGAGGAACGCCGACCAGGCGCGCAGGAACGTTGTGATGGTGACGGCGGCGTTGTATTACGTGCGGCCGGTGGCTGAGGAAGGCGGCGAAGCGACGATGGTCGACGACGGAGTTGAGACTGAGGAAGGCGGCGAGCGACAGATGCCCACGGACGACGCAGTGACCGAGGAAGGCGGCGAGCGACGGATGTCCACGGACGACGCAGTGACTGAGGAAGGCGGTGAGCGACGGATGCTCACGGACGACGCAGTGACTGAGGAAGGCGGCAAACAGGGCGAAAACGGCGGCACGAGTGATGGCGACACTAATAACGCAGAAGACCAGGAACCCGCCGAAACCGTGCAGGAAGTGGACGCAGCGACTACAGAGGTCAGCGTGGCTCAAGTGCGCGCTGTTCGACGAAACGCGAAGAAGGAGATGAAGCGGCGACGGGTACTAAACGCGCAGAGGAGAGCAAGGACGGCGAATAGTGCTGGCGATGAGGTGGACGCAGCTATTGCGACACTGGACGCTGCACAACTGGATAGGCGACGACGACAGTCTGAGGTGGCGAGAGCCTCACTGGCTCAGCGACGGCAACGGTATCGTGGGATGCAGGTGTATTCGATGGACGAACGTGCTAGGGCGCGACTAGTGCAGCGCACACAGGAACCAGCAGCGGGTGCAACGCTGGATCCCGACGTGGAGGCGGACGTCCTGGCCGAGGATGGTCTGCCGACGGCGACGATGATGGTTGAAGGCGAGCGGTTGCCCGTGAAGCTTGACAGCGGTGCGCGTTACTCGGTGGCGGGTGTAGACTGGATGCTGCGGAGCGAGAAGCTTCGTGAACCAGCACCGGTGGACCTCGTGGAAGGTATTGGTGGGTTTGCTCTTGATGTACTCGGACTATGGGCGTTCGAGATGCGTAACGTATTTGGGCAGACGATCACGGTGAAAGCATGCATCATTGACGGATGTACGGACGAGTTTCTGGTGGGAGTGGACTCCCTAAAGCAGAACAAGGCGACGATGGACCTCACGCGCAACGAAGTGCGTTACTACACGAGAAACGAGCAGGTAGTGATCCCCTTTAGGACCGACGATGACGAGAGCGGTGCCAAAGTAGCAGCGGTGCGGCTGATGCGCCAGACCCGACTACGACGGAGCGCGGTGACGCCGGTGGAGGTGTCAGTTGCAGCCTCGGATGGTACAGAAGGACTGTTCATACCAACGCAGAGTTGTGGGGCTGTAATGATGGCCACAACGCTGACGCGGGTGAAGAACGGGAAGGCGTTGGTGCCGGTGGTCAACACACACGGAGGTCGAGTGAGACTGCCTGACAAGCGCGAGTTAGGCACGTGGATTCCGCTGGAAAAGAGTATACAAGTACTGGAAATGGGCGGCGCAGTAGATCGCGACAAGCTGGATGAGTGGCTAGCTACTCTTGGTGACAGCGAAACACCGTTGAACAACGAAGATGTAGTTGTAATCAAGACGGAAGACGATGGTGCTCGGGCGCTGATACTGCAACTGCTGAGGGCGTACCGGAAGGTGTCAGAGGATACTGGTGATTGTCCGCCTATGACAACACGGAATGTCCAGCACCATATCGACACGGGAAAGGAGTCTCCGCTGATGCTGAAGCGACGACGACAAGCTCAGTCAGAAGATCTCATTATTGAGGAGAATGTTACGAAGATGCTGCGTGCTGGGGTGATTGAAGCTGGTGACGGTGCCTGGGGATTCCCAGTCGTTCTGGTACGCAAGAAGGACGGAGAAGTACGTTTCTGTGTGGACTACCGAGCATTGAACAAGATTACGAAGCGAGACGTCTATCCGCTGCCACAGATTGACGAGACACTGGAGGCGTTAGGAGGCGCCAAGTTGTTTACGACGCTGGATCTGAAAGCTGGATACTGGCAAATCGGAGTAGCGCCTGAAGACCGTGACAAGACGGCGTTTACTACAAAGCAAGGGCTTTATCGGTTCGTGAGAATGCCTTTTGGACTGATGAATGCACCGTCCACCTTTCAACGGATGATGAACGGTGTGCTACGCGGGCTGACGAGGTTAATCTGCTTGGTATATCTGGATGACATCGTGGTGTTTACGCGTGGCGGTATGGAGCGGCACATTGTGGAGTTGGCGACGGTCTTGGAGCGGTTGTCGTCCGCAGGCCTGACCCTGAAGCTGAAGAAGTGCGTTTTTGCAGCGAAGTCCATGGAGTACTTAGGACATGAGTTAAGTGACGAAGGCGTGCGACCGGTGCAGCGACTAGTAACTGCGGTGACGGAGTTTCCGCGACCTCGTGACCCAGTGGAAGTGAAGAGGTTCGTGCATTTGGCGGGCTAATACCGGAAGTTTATCGAGGCGCTCGGGTCGATTATGGCTCCGATGACGAGACTACTCAA